AAGAAGAAGATATAGCTATAAATAATAGATATATTCTCTCATCCGTCTACACAGTATTCCCAGGGAATTCCTATAGGGATATGGCCCTGTCAAGATGTCATCACCAAAAGGCTCTCTCACATGAAAAAGAGAGAACTTCTACTATTCCCTTAACACAAGACAATAAGGGAACATATTTTGATGGAATAGCTCCAGCGTAAGCGTCTTAAAAAAGATAATGATAGATTGACTTAGTGTTTAAGTCGTTAATCAGGTAATACCATAAAATGACTGAAGAATGTAATGACACTCCTTTCAAGTTTGTTAACTCTTTGCTCAACAGTCGGCCTGCGGTGGAGAATTTCCATCAAAATTTGTCTTATGATTATCAGTTATTTCTTCAAATTGCATATCAACTGGAGTGGGTCTTTTTCCTTTTTATCATCTCGAGATATTTTTTTAATTGTATCCCCTTTTCTTGAGGATTAGTAATGGCATTAATGGTCTCAAGAATGAATTGTTCATGTTCATCTAGGGTATTTAATTCAGAAGAACTATTATAAGATGTTATGGATGAATCATCAGAACTATTTTCCTTTTTAGAAGTGCAAAGATTATTGCACTCATCGTTAGAGGGTTATGGATGAATCATCAGAACTATTTTCCTTTTTAGAAGTGCAAAGATTATTGCACTCATCGTTAGAGAAAGAATTATCATCAATAAGATTTAAAGTATTCATAAGTTTTTCGATTTCATCGGCTGAATAATAAAATGCTTAGAATTAAAGCTCTGAAAAAGGAAATAAAGAAAGTGCTTTAGAATTTAAAGCTATCAAGCATATAGAATTTGTAGTATTTTTTAACTACAAATATCTACAATTGTTTTATTATAGAATAAGCACTAGAATCAAAGAGTGAGTTGTAATTGCGTAGTGTCTTTTATCTCATCAGGAAATTTATCAGCAAAGGCAATGACTCTGTGGATAGGAGAAATAATACCTTTGTTAATAGAATATCCTAGTTAAAAGGGAATGGTTTTTTAGAACTTATGAAGAGGACCTTCGGTCATCAATTCGTGTCCTATATTATGATTGTATACGAACTATTAGAAAAAATATACATTTTTTCTTATGGTATGAGTTCATTTACATTGAAGAACAAAAGAATTCCCTTAAACATTTACCTACTGAAAACCGTGTCTGTATGCTAAAAAAGATTTCAAAATACATGGAAGACAGAAAAACTAAGTGAAAAAAATGAGTAATCTTACTGAAGAATTAACTAAAAGATTAAAAGATTTGTCTTTAAATAAATCTCCTACTATCAATGTCTTGTCTGAATATGAAACTCGAGAAGAAAATCAATGGAAAACTGTTCTCATTCTACCTTTCTCTTTCTATACTTAGAGGCGAAGGCCGCCAGGCTTTACTCACTTTCAACAAAAATATCTAAAATTTTTAGAACAATATCTCCATGAATATAGAGAATTTGTCATCCTGTTACCTACTGTGATAATTCTCTTCTCAAGAAATTTTGAAGAACATTGGAAACAACTAGAAATATTCTTTGTTTAACTCCAACATCTCCTTCAAAGAGGACCAAATACTTTTATGATCCAGGATTAAAATATCCTGATTATATGCTTGTTAATAATCTATGGAACATCATCTGCGCTCAAGAACAAACCGAAAGCTTGGTGATCCACTAGAGCTAGTAGTAGTAGAGCACTCTTATCTTACAAACACTCAAAAGAAAACTTAAAAGCAAACCTCACTCAAACTTAAACTAAAACTGAAAACTTTAAAAAAAGAAACAGGAGGGAATTCTCTAGAGACAATCAGACTTCACTCTCCAAAAACGCCTCCCCTTTACTCCTCAACTCCTTCTTTTATAGACTTTTTTATGAACTATGCAAAAGATTCAACTCCTCCTTTTATAGACTTTTTTAGAAACTATGCAAAAGATTCTGGTATGAGATTAATTATCTCTATCCTTATTCCAATAAAATTACACTAACATCCCATGAGATGTTTTAAATCCTCGGAATACCAGAATTCATTCTGCAAAATATTTGCATGGAACGTCTTAACAGAGAGCAACTATGGTCATCATAGATACCGAGGTAAAGAATACAGTTACTTTCGGCTAAGAATATATCATATTATTCCATTAAATGAATGAAACTCATATTGAAATCCCAATGTTCCGCGAAAGTTTAAAGAAAAATATATCATTGCAAAGTTTTAAACCAATAGTGTTGACTTTTTGGATTAATTCTCCAAAAGGAATTTGATCATAGAGAATGGTGCCATTACATTGCTCTTTGAGGGATATTCTAACCTTTTCGGCAAATAGAGGTGGAAGGTCAGAAATAAACTTTTCTTTCCAAATTGGATTATTACAATCGTGTAGTTGGTAAATTTTTGACAAAAGAATTATCGAAAAACAAAATCTAATTCTAAGAATTACCAAAAAACACAGTTCTAATAAAACTGAAAGAATACCAAGAAAACCCCCTAAAAGAAATTTTAGGAAGACTCCTACATGTTACAAATGTAAACAAAAAGGACATTATACTAACAAATGTTTTCAAAAGGAAATGAAAAAGAGGGTTAATGAGTTAAATATTAAACTCCAATACCAAAGAAGAAAAGGGATCTCCTAAAGGAAAGACTAAAACAAAAAATACTAATAAAACCCCTACTAGTTATAAATGCAAAAAGAAAGGACATTATGCTAATAAATGTCCACAAAAAGATCTAAAAACTAAGGTCAAGTTATAAATGCAAAAAGAAAGGACATTATGCTAATAAATGTCCACAAAAAGATCTAAAAACTAAGGTCAATGAACTTTTATTAGACTCCAAAGAATTATGCTAATAAATGTCCACAAAAAGATCTAAAAACTAAGGTCAATGAACTTTTATTAGACTCCAAAGAATTTACTACAGAAGAAATTGATAAGTTTGTTAATACTTTGAAACTTAGTGATAATGGTTCCTTATATAATGAAGATTTATGCAATAATCTTTGTACTTGTTTTAACTTTTCTGGATATGCTTCAAATATCTATGGAATTTGGTCTCCCCTGGATTATGCAATGGGATTGGGATTGTGTTAACGACACACCATCTTATTACATAATCCAGAGGAGACCAAATTCCATAGATATTTGAAGCATATCTTATGGAGATACAGACTTTAGATGGTACAAAGACGTCTTCCTTTCCAAGGTCTACCAATTACATGATTGTAATAACCCTATTTGGAAAGAAAAAATCATTTTAGGTCTTCCACCCATATTTGCTGAAAGAATAAGAGAATGTCTGATTTTCTCTCCAGGGAATTCCTACAGGGATATGGCCCTGTCAAGATATCATCAGCAAAAGGCTCTCTTACATGAAAAAGAGAGAACTTCTTCTACTCCCTTAACACAAGACAATAAGGGAACATATTCTCAATTTTATACATGAAAAAGAGAGAACTTCTTCTACTCCCTTAACACAAGACAATAAGGGAACATATTCTCAATTTTATCAGAAAACATTGGATAAACAAGACAATAAGGGAACATATTCTCAATTTTATCAGAAAACATTGGATAAACTTGTCATCCTTGAAACGTCTGATACCAATCGTGAACCGAAAGCTTGGTGATCCACTGAAGCTAGTAGTAGTAGAACACACTTATCTTACAAACACTCAAAGGAAAACTTAAAAGCAAACATCACTCAAACTTAAACTAAAACTGAAAACTTTTAAAAAAGGAAACATGAGGGAATTCTCAAGAGAGGATCAGACTAGGAATCTTTTGCATAGTTCCTAAAAAAGTCTATAAAAGGAGGAGGAGTTGAGGAGTAAAAGGGAGGCGTTTTTGGAGAGTGAAGTCTGATTCTCTCTAGAGAATTCCCTCTTGTTTCCTTTTTTAAAGTTTTCAGTTTTGGTTTAAGTTTGAGTGAGGTTTGCTTTTAAGTTTTCTTTTGAGTGTTTGTAAGATAAGTGTGCTCTACTACTACTAGCGCCAGTGGATCACGAAGCTTTCTGTTTGTAAGTGTTTAAGTTTATTTTCTTTCAAGTTTGTAAGCGTCTTATGTAAATACTATCTAGTTTGCTTCCGCCGCTGTTACTGTTTATTACTGTTCACGCTGTTACTGTTCATTTTTTACTATTCATTACTATATTTTCTTCTTTTATTTTTGATATACATGTGAACGAAGAAGAAGATATAGCTATAAACAATAGATATATCCTCTCCTCCGTCTACACAGTATTCCCCACGAGCTAGCTCTATCGTATCAAGGCTAAACAAGTCTTGGTCACGGTTGGTATATATATATATATATATATATAGCAAGACTATCCACAACCATAAGGCCTCGGCCTCACGATGTTTTTTGGTTGGATACATGGATCTCTCTTCTGTTAAGGACCATCTTCTTGGTTAAGTTAACAATTATCCCATCTTTTCTACATGCTTTTGCTTAGACCTACTTCTGGTCTCTGTTTCTTTTAACTACAATCTTATTAATTCTCCATTTCACAACCCAAACCATCTCAGATATTTCCCTCGTTTATCCTCAACACTTTAGAAGCCTCTTTGTAGAAGTGCATGATTATTATCTAATATTTTAGTGTATTTTCGTTCATCCATCTTAGAATCCCTGTTGTTGCTGTGCTCGTTTTTTGGACATATTGTTTCTTGACTATCTAACTTTTAATCCATAAAGTAGTGGTGGTCTTAGTCTTTTAGATTCTTTTTTCCTGTTTTCTTTTTTTAATTTCATTGATGTTTTGTTATCACATAAGACTTAGAAAGTACTTCTCTAATATCATCCTGTCTTAATTCTATAACCACATGCTTCTTTGATCACACTGTCTAAAATAGTCACTCTGAGGTATTTTTGACTGTCACTTTGTACTATATTGTTATATTCTCATTCCTTACAATATTTGTTTGCCTCACATCATATACATATGCAATATTTGATGGACCCAGTGCTTCTTTTCCTTAAATGATGCAGACTTTGGGGTGCAAATCTTATTCCGAGTTTGCAATTCAGCCAAATATGGCTGCATCACCAGATGTGGTTATGTCCTTTCTTATTGATTTGAGCATGACTATTAGACCTAAAGCTGATGAGGTAAATGGTGGCGTACTTTCTCATCACAAATATATGTAGCGTAATATCTTGCTTTGAAATTTTATCTGCATATCATCTTGCTTCGACATTTTATCTGATGCTTGGATATCTTATCTGCATATTATCTTGCTTGGACTTGTGGTGCAACCACTTTGATATAGTTTTTTCTATTTTCTTACTTTGCAGGAGTTTAGGTCCATACGTGAGTTCAAAAGGAAAATGTGTAATGAAAAATGTGCTGATTTACAGCCATGGGATGAGGCTTACTTCACAGGAAAGATGAAGTCTTCTGCATATGACTTGGACCCCTCTGTATGTTTGTCGTTGAATCACTGACTATAAGAACTCATTATATTATGATTATTTCAAATGAGTGACTGTGTGACCAATTTATGCTGGATCAAAATCTCATACTTCATTTTCCTTTTACTTTCATTTTGGTTTGGTTTCTCCTTATTATTTTGATCTGAAAAAGAACTTGAGAGATCATTAATGTAAAGGAATTATGGAAATGGAGAAGATGGGGATTAGAAGCTGGAAGCTTAGAAACATGATTGAGAAGGAACTTTCTTTTATGGATGGGGGTGGGGGTGGGGGTGGGAGGAGCTGAGGAGCTGAGTAGGCACTCAATAAGGAAACCCAATCCTCAGCTGAGTAGTCACTCAATAAGGAAACCCAATCCTCAATTTCAGAAATCAACTGAACTCAAAACACAGATGGTAAGATGCTATTGGGTGGTGGCCCTGCTTATGGGTCAAATCAATACATTCTGAGAAGAAATATTTGATTATCAATCTCATGGATCTCATTAGTATCATACTAAATCCCATCAATCGAATCACTTTTTCGAGAATACGATACATCTAAGCCGTATAAGAGATTTATTCATTGATAAGAAAAAGAAAAAAATGTAAACGATGATTTGATTGATGATAAAATCGAATACTGGGTTGCAAACAGTGATTTGATTGATGATAAAGAAAGAGAACTATTGGTTTAGTTCTCCACCTTAATGACAGAAAAAAGGATTGATCAAATTCTATTGAGTCTGACTCATAGTGATCCTTTGTTTTACAATTATTATGAAGGTTAAATATTTAATGTCAAAAGTGATTGTGTCATAAGTGTCATGTTCTTATAACTTTCCAAAATAAATGAGTAGGCTTATGAAATGATATAAACATAGAGCTCCTGATGAAATTTTGTGACCTAATAATAATTGTTTGCTCTTACGATCCAATCTATTGAAAACTAAATCACATAGCTGTTTTGCTGGTTCCCAGGATTTTCTGTTGCAAATGGATCAACAAAATGGCTAACATTTGAGTGCAGCAAAAAAACTTCTCTTTTTAACTTAGTATACATTTTCATTTGTACAAATGTCAAATGGAACTACATCTTCTTTTCTTTAAGTTGAAAAATGAAATAATAATTGATGTCACTTGTTTTGTATAACTAATTTTCTATTATTGATTCAACAGGTCATAGCGTCATACTTCTCATTATCCCATTGCCTTGAGGGCCTAAAGGTGTTGGTTAAATCATTGTTTGGTGCGACATTCCATAGCATGCCTTTTGCACCAGGAGAATCATGGCACCCCAGTGTGATGAAATTGTCACTTCATCATCCTGAAGAGGTAAATACTTAAATATTACAAGCATTCTCTGTGCATGTTTGACTTTCTGTTTGTAACAGAATTACTATTTTCCTTATTCCGTAAGTAATTCAGATTAAAAATTAATTTTTACTACTATCATACACAACCACTCAATCACTCTCTCTCCCTCTCTCTCTACTTATCCAGTTGGGACATTATGTTATTATATTCCTATTCCCCTCTATTTGAAAATCTGAATGCCTCTGATCAGCTTTGCAACTTGACGAAACTTTACCCAACAATTTATTTTGAGATTCACAGGAACAAACCAAGTGTCCTAGTTGTGCAAATTGTTTCACAAGTTCTTTGACTCATGAAAAAAGAGGTTTTGACTTATATATTGAGTAAAGGCGTAATTTTTATAATATGTTCCTGTTAAGCTTCAGTTATGGCGGAATTTGAGCATGATGCTGGTATCATCTGCAAATTGCCAGTTATTCTCCACTCGCTTTTCAGTAATAAACAATCTCTTATATTTCTGTTGAATTTGATCTAGAGGTCTATAATGGGTTGCTATGCTGGATAACTTTTAAATTGTCATTGAATGGAGGATCATGGTGGACATTAACATATGGATGAAGGATTGAACATAGATATGCCTGTCACGTGTATTAACAAATTAATCTGTTTAATGAGTTCCCATACTTGCACTAAAGATTATGAAGGAGTTGCTTATGGCTCTTTTTGTGCTAAATGTGACTCATCTCTAAGTTTGCAACTTCTTTGTTTATATTTGTAAAAGTGTCTTTTGTCGCTTAATGGTTCATTGAACCTAATGAATTAGCTTTTCCCTTCTTTTGTGGAAGTATAATCAGAATCAGAATGGCCTTGCTGTATGCAGTGTACTATTTATATGTAAACTTGTGAAGTTATTCTATTTGTTCCTGGCATTTTTCCATTTCTTGGAAGCTTCATTTTGTTGTTACCCTATCTTCTCTAGTTTTAACCAGCACTTTGTTTTGTATAAACAGGGAGATTTGGGGTTTCTGTATCTTGATCTTTACTCGAGGAAGGAAAAATATCCTGGTTGTGCTCACTTTGCCATTAGAGGCGGTCGTCGACTATCTGGGACAGAGTACCAATTACCTGTATGCTTCAAGCAATTTGCATTTTTTCTGTCTTACATTTGCTTGACATCTGGTTTAACTTTTGATCTATGCCTGAGGAAAGATAAATTTTGTGTGACAGATGCATCTATTTAACTAAGACTAGCAGTGAAATGATATCTTATTGTAAAATCTTGATTGCATTTGTCGTAGTAGGGCTTTTATCCATTACGATTTTTTTGAGTCCTTGAGAGTGATTTTAATGCACATGTCCATACAATTCTTATTTTTAGCATTATAATGATAATTAATAAATTCTATTTGGGATACATTTATATGTTTGTTAGCTTGTAATTGAACATGAAATGTATACTGAGCTACCTATATTTCCCATATTGACTATTTCATTGAAAAGTTATGCTAATTCCTTGTAGATTTACTTGTTCATCAAATGTATCTTTGAAAGTATTGGTGTGGTGAACTTTGATAATTATTTTGTCTTATTCGCTCGTCATTGTCAGTAAACTAATGGTTTTTCTTTAAAAATTTTACCTCACTTTACTCGCTATTCTGATATGGCAGCATGCTTGACCTATCTCTTACAAGCAGTATGTAGGATGGACAATCTAATTTTTGGTCAGTTCTCATCACAATTTCCCACGGAGATCATAACTCTCCTGATCTTCTTCTCCTTGTTTCTTCTAGTTACTCATCTGCCTGAACATATCTTGACTTTTTATAGTGTTAGCTCCTGATTTGGGTCCATGAATTGCTTGACTTTATATGAGCATTCTAGTTGAATATTAAAAGTTCAGGCCCTACAAGTGTCGCCTCTTATTAATTGTCAGTTGCGCAAGAGTTAATAATCTTTCCAGCACTTGAATTTAATTGCGTCTTGTTAGTTGCTTTTAGTCTTTGTTGCAATTTATTTTTAGTAAGGTAACAGGGTTGCTGAGGCCTTCCTTAGGTAGTAATGATATTGATGAGGGGGTTATTAGGTAGGGGAAGTACCATGTTCATGTCCCATAACAGTGTAACTCGTTAAAAAAAATGTAAGAGGGTACTCTTTGACACCATGTTTGTGTCATCATAATGTATTAACTTTCATATTATCATATTTATTCTTTTAAATTAATGACATGATATGTTACAGATTGTTGCTTTGGTATGCAACTTCTCAGCTTCTCCTGGATCATCTTCAAGGCTTAATCACTTGGATGTTGAAACCCTTTTCCATGAATTTGGACATGCTCTTCATTCCCTTCTTTCTAGAACGGTATTCTTTTGTTGTTTCTCAAATGTTACTTATAAATTTCCTCTTAGTATCTCTGCATCGATCCATTGACCAATATATTGATCTTCTCAGGATTATCAGCACTTCTCAGGTACGAGAGTTGTTCTTGATTTGGCTGAAACTCCTTCAAACCTATTTGAGTACGTTCTCCTTTTTAACGTTCTTTGTACATTGTATGGTCTTATAAAATTTGAAAGTATCCATGTGACAGAAAGCAAAAGTTTTTATGCTCATTTTATGCCAGGATTCTAGACTTAAAATTAATATCATCCCTTGTTTTGAGAAGCAGTTTGGGCACTGGCCTAGGCCACTGCTTAAGCCTAAGTGATGCTCAGACAGCCCGAGCAAGTCTTGCAGTGTCTAAGTGAGCATGGGTTGCTTAAGCAAGCTGATTGTGTCAAAAAGGTATATATTGCCCTTTTAATAGTAACAGGTGAAGCAAACAGGTCGCGTCGAAAGAGATTGGATCTGATCAAAGCTTGATAACAAAATCCATCATAGATAAAACAATGAGGATAGGACTTTGAATTTTTGAAAAAGTCCTTCCTCTCTCGATGTATCCTCTTAGCCTTTCTCTTTGCACTCAAGTTGTAAATTTGGTGTCTTTGACTACGGTTAAAACAATAGCCTCGAAAATGAAGTGTTAAAAAACGCCCATGTGCCACTTAAGTGCCCCCTAGCTACCTGGGCATGGGCACTAGATCTGATGTCCAGAAGTGCCCAGGGTTTTGTGAGACGTTGGTATCACCTAGCATTCTAGAAAACTTTTCTTTCGAATGACTGTAAAAGGACGATTTTGTGTAGCTTTCATCTTGTTGCGGTAAAGGGATGACTTTTCATTATCTTTTACCACAAGCAACATGAGTCGAATCTGATTGCAGTCTTGAAACTTTGTAAGTGACTTCAGATCATAGTGTTAGAACTAATATGTTTATATAATACAGTGAATGGGACTAGTGCTACTTCTTCTCATTCAGGAACAATTTGATTGTATTAAAATAACAAAACTCAAAGCCCAATCCTCCTCTCCGCCCAACACACACATGCACGCGCGCACACGAAGGAAAAAGAAAAAGAGCAAAGTAACTGAAAAAGAAGAAAAAAGACTAAAACGCCCCTCTTTATTTTTTCTTGTGCTGGTGGGTTAGTAATGCAGTTGTAGTGTGGATTGTTCTTGATGGTGCATGCCTATTCTGGTGATCATGAACTGAAACTAGCAAGCTTAACAGTGAATAGTCAGGGGGAGTAGATGGTTGTGATTTGGTGGGAACGACCTCATCATGCGGTAAAAAAGTAAGGTTGTGAGACCAAAGAACAATTCAGAAGAGCTACATTGTTGGTAGGATTATGGGTTTGATGCTATGTTACATTGGATAATGGGAAAAGGGAAAATTGATGAAGAAATGAGAGCCTGATGGGGAACTGAAATTTTAATAAATGTATTAGGGAATTTATCCAAAGATGAGTACAAATGATATTGATTATAGAGAGGATACCACCAGAGAAAGGAAGACAGGTAACGAATGTTGTATGTATAACTTACATTTGTAAAACTATATAGAGAGGATACAACCTGGGAAAGAAAGACAGCTAACGATGTTTGTACAAATGTTATTGGTCGCATTATAGAGAGGAAATTTCTCCTCTCAATTTCTTCTTCCTTCTCTAAAATTTTGGGCAAGGCTTCATGGAGGGAGATAAAAGTGAGGGAAGAGGGAAGCATATGCAATTAGTTAGATGACCCTAGTTAAGGGTGAGTTAAGAGAGTCTCACGTGCTTAGCATGTGCTTAGGGTGAGGGTATTTTGGAAGAGAGGGTATGTTTTAAGCAGAAATTGGCAAAATGTGTGACATTGTGACAATAACAACAATTAAAGGTGATTTCCGTTAAAAAATAGGTGAAAGGTGGTTTTCATCAATTTAGTAAAAAGTAAAGATGGTTTCCATGTAAAAACCCTTATAATTTATACCATGGATACTCCAAACCGCACAAAATAATCAGTGCCTTTATCTTATTTACGTGTGTTGACATGTTGATCATTTCCTAGGCAGTCCATCCTTACAATCTATTAATTGGTGCAGTTCTATCGGAATTCATTAAATTTTATTCAATATAATAATTCTATTGCAATTCTGTTATTATTTGGTTCATTGTTATTCCTTTCATTTAGGCACTATGCATGGGACTACCGTGTTCTGAGGACATTTGCTAGACACTATGCGACAGGTGATGTAATACCAGAAAAACTAGTAGCAGTCATGAACTCTGCTAGAAATATGTTTGCCGCTACAGAACTTCAGCGCCAGGTATATTTCATTGAAAATATTAAGTAAGAAAACACTGTTGCTTAGTTTTATTTGAAGGCATTGACCTTGATGCACTCCTAATTGCGAAGCACTTTTTGCTGGTTTCAATTTCAAGATGACTAATCATAATGCTGATGCTCTTGCTAGATTTTCCTCTCAATTACTGATCTCACTCTGTTCGGGGAGCAGCCCTCCACTCCCATAGATACAATATCTGTTGTTGCTGATCTGAAGAGAAAGTACACAAGCTGGAACCATGTGGACGGCACACACTGGCACACTCGATTTACCCATCTTATAACTTACGGGGCAGGTGTGTTGTGCGCCCAACTATCTCGTCAGGTTTGGTGATTTAAATTAGGGTAATTTGCACTTAAATACCCCAAAATTTATTCTGTTTTTACTTTGATGCGCCAAAGTAATTTTTGCCCAAAAAATACTCCAAGGTTTACCGTAATTTTAACTTTGGTACCCCAAAGTTTTTTTCCCCAGAAAGTTCCCCAAAGTTCAACAAATTTTGATATTGATCCTGAAACTTTAATAAAAATTTAACTTTGATACCCAAACTTTAACAAAAGATTAACTTTTGGGTATCAATGTTAAATTTTGTTGAGCTTTGGGGTATCAAAAGTTAAAATTTGTCGATCTTTTCTTTTTTTGGGGGTGGGGTGGGGTGGGGTGGGGTGGGGGGCTTACTTTTTGAGCAGAATATATATTTTGGTATCGAAGTAAACTTTTGTTGGGCTTTGGGGGTTTTTTTCCGTAGGAAAAGAAACTATGGGGTATTTAAGTGCAAATAACCCTAAAAATATTGTAAGACATGTATTTCCCCCTAAACTTCATATTCTTAAGTAAAACAATTTCATGTCTTGATTCTGGTGGGCAGGTTATTACAGCTACCTGTATGCAAAGTGTTTTTCAGAAACTATATGGCAGGAGATATGCAGTGAAGATCCCTTCTCAATGAGCACAGGAACTGCTATTAGAACAAAGTTCTTGCAGCACGGTGGAGCGAAGGATCCTGTTCAATTATTACAGGATTTTGTTGGCAGTGGTGTTGTGAGAAGTTCAAATGGTGGGATCGTCCCTGATATTAGTAGCCTTTGTAAAGGAATGGGGCTGGGGTGATAGACCTCCATCTACTTAAGCAACCATAAATATAGAGCACTGTTACAGATTGTCAAGCATCAGATATTTCAGGAAAGTGGAGAGCTTGATGGTAATGGTGTCTCCTCAGCCATGCATCAAAGAATACAGTTCAAAGTAAGCATATGATGTAGCTTTGCGTGTTTAAAATTGATGATGGTTGTGCGGATGGAAGAAAGTCATCCATGTACGGCAGGGGAGATGGTGAATTTTGCACGAAAGGGAAGACTCTTGGTGAGCTTGTATGTAGTCTTATCTATCCTTGTGAGGTTGCCACTGGCTCTATTGACCCTATTCATGTTTTCTGTAATGAACTGATTACTGGCATTGCTTTCCATCTTAATTTATTCTCGTATCTCTAAAATGTAACGTTAAATACACTGTTATTTAGAGTATCCCGATCATAATAACATTTAATGATGAGAAGGTATGTAATTTTGCTTCATTTGCTGTGTGTTCTGCCTTAGATTGCATCTGCATTTACCCTTATGCAGACTTAGAGGTGGTGGAGAGGTTGAATTGGGGGAGCAACCTGATTTTTCTCCTTGAACTCCGCCAAAAGAAGTGACTAAGTGACTAATGCATACAGCGATGATGCAAAGCGCGACCGGTACAAAAAAAAACTACCACAACAACAAAAGAAAACCTCTAAAGAAGAAACATGAGCCTCAGGATTACAATGGCATTCACAGATTACAATGTCCTCTTTGAGAACTGGACAATAACTTTTTTCGTTATCAGAAGGATATGTTACTCATTTGCACTCACCTTAGACGTGAATATGCCTGTTATGTTGAAAATTGAGAACACACTGAAAGTTCATAGATTATAGCTAGACTGAAAGTATTAAGAATTATCATATCCTTTTTGAATGTTTCTAAGCATGTTTCTTTCGTTTATCTTTGGTTTTTTTCCTCCGTTAATTATAACCTTACGTGTTTCATGTCCAAACCATATTAAAGGAATCCCTCCGGTGACCTTACCTTCAACTAAAATTAAAAGAGATGAGGAGAAAGAAATTATTGTTTCGAAACTCTTGAGGAGTTCTTCTGTATTTTTGCAAACTTTAGGGGGATTTAGAGCATCTCCAAGGGGCTGGAAAAATCCGGCCCCTTAGCTAGGGAGCGTTTGGATACCATAGCGTTTTTACCGTTTCCATTTATTTTTCAAAAAAAAATAATAAAACGCGTTTGGCAACCAGAGCGTTTTTTTGACTTGACCCTTTACAAAATCCAAAAATTAAACACTTTTCTCAAAACACCAAAAAGGTGTTTTGAGATTCTGTTTTTTTCATCTAAGCCGTCGCCGCCGCCGCCGGCCTGACGCCACCCGTGCCCGCCGCCTGTCCGCGCTGCCCCGCCGCGCCGCTGCCCCGCCGCCGCCCGCTGCTGCCCCGCGTCAAGGGTCAGGCACCCCCTACATCAACCTTGAAGTTGGAGGCTCATCCTTCAAGGTGGTGATGGTGATGGACAAACGATGTGCGCCTCCAACGTCCACTACCAAGCATCCTGCGCGCGGGTCGCCGCATCCCGCGGAAGCCACGATACCATTTTTCTTATAGCCGTAGTATCGGTGATCTAGTCACGCTCACGTATACTCACAGTTTATTATGGTGCGTCGTGCTATATAGGAAGATATATACATATATATTGGTGTACTATATAAATGCCCGCTTACATACTATCTCTGTGCCGCGTACTCAGCGCCGGCCTATTACAGTACCCACTATACACGTATTACAACCGCCTAGTATCATGTGGCTTGATAGTATATATACAGTTATGTAGAGCCCGCCATAATATATAACTATACTATATCCGTACATCATTATACTATAGATATATATATATACAACTATATTATTTATATATATATATATATATGGTCTGCCTATAGCCTGCTCGTCTATATAATCGCTCGGTATATATATATATACTACCACCTCGATATATATATATACCTCCTAGTACGCCGTACTATATATATATATATATATATATATACATATACATTATACATAATATACACTGACTCGCCTTATATTACATATACATATATATACATGATACAGTATACAGTATAATATACATATTATATATTATACATATATATATATACATATATATATATTACATACAGTATACATATACATTAACATACCATATATGTGTATAGTTAATATATATACATAATATGTTATATATATATACTACAGTATAGTATGTGTATATATCATATTATATATTATACATATATTATGTTATATTTATATACATACATATAATATGATGTTATAATAATATATACACATATTATTATGTCCGTACGTCACTCAGCAACCGTCCTAGTCCTATTAATATAGCACGTATGATATATACCTTATACAATGCCATGACTATATTATGCTGCGTATAGATAGTCATATAACCTCGAGTACCGTCTAATCCAGTCTACTCTTGCCGCTCGCGCATAGCCCGTCCCGCCCTGACCCACCTCGTACCGTGACTACGTATACCTAGGCTTGACTCACTCAGCTACCTCTCATATATATATATATATATATATATATATAGTCTATAGATATAATATATATATATATACTATAGTATATTATATATATATATTATATATACATATAGTATTTATACATTATATAATTATGTGTATATATATATATATATATTATATATATACTATATATATATATACCACCGTAGATCATCTATATAGATACACCTAATCTGCTACCATGTATATATAACACATATATATATATGTTATATAGTATATACAATACAGTACTCTATAGTATATCATATATAATATATAGCCTATACTATATATATATATATATATATATATATATAAACGATACATATATATATATATATCATATACTAATATATGCTAATAATACAATATATACTACTATAATATATATATATACATATATATATATGTATATATATAGATACATATAGGTGCCTGACCATTAAATCGTATTACTATATATACACCATATTCAGTTTTAGTATACTAGGCCTAGTATCCATTAGCCCGGCAGTATATTATTACCCTCTAGTCCGCTCATCTATATATATAGGCCACCTCGTATATATTATACTCTATATATTATATATAGCTACCTATATATATATAGCTAGTAACTTGATATATATATATACCCATATAATCCTATATATAGTACAGTATATTATATACTACATCTTATATATATGTGTATATCTACTATATATATGGTATTATTCACCTCATATCATAACATATATTGCTGGCTGTCGCCCGTATATATTACCAGCCTTACTCGCGGACTCCCTCTATATATATATATATATATATATATATATAGCCTATAATACTATTATACCATATCCTTATAGTACTATATTATACTACTAACTATAGCCTATATATATATCACGTACTTATATATATATACTACGTATATACTTATTGATAGTATATCCTATATAGGTACTACTACGTATATATGTATAATATATAATGTACCGCTCACCTACTCAGTATCCCTCTAGCACATATAATACTCTAGATTGCTTAATATATTGATAATATTATATATGATGATAATATATAATGCTTATAACAATATACGAGTTGTGTTATTTTTTCATAAAACTACTATTTTATTTATACAGTATAGTGGTATATATGATAATGATATAAGCTATATATACATATATATTATATATATATATTATTATATATTGAGTAATTTATAATAATGTAGTTATTATCTTAAAATACACTATAACTAATAAATAAAATCTAGCTATATATATCTTTTACTAGTGTATTACCAATTATATATATATAGGTATAGGTATTTTATTTGGGTATACGTACATACTATATATAGTACGGTCTCCAATATCATATATGTAGACCTCTAGTAGATAATATAAGTATTATCTCTATACCTCACTATATTATATATAATAATGACCCTCATAGTTACCCTTAAAACATTATATACTATCTCACCTATATAGTATATAATATTATAATAAGTATGATATGGTGGGTGAAGTGCGTTACAAGTCCCTTAAGCCTTTCCTGTGTTGCCCCTTCATTTAGTGATTAGTGTTTGTGTTGTAGTAATGTTCTGATGATAGTTGTATTTCTTATTTAATAAGTGATTTAATTATATATTATGTTTATATTATTAGGTCATAATATAAATACCCATAATTATTAATATATATGCCTAATGTGCTATGATAGATTATACATACTCCTCCCTTGACACACACGGTTGTATTATTTTTATTAGCGATAATTTACTGAGACATGATAATGAATTCCTATTATATTCTATAAAGAGCGGTTTGCGCACAAATCTCAAAAAGTGTCACTCAAGTTTAGGTCCTACCAATATTTAAAGTCCGCGTCTGGTGTGCCACATATTGGTCGTATCGCTACTCTAATTCGCGAAATCTCATACTGAGTGCGTGATTTCAACGTGTTGAGTGAGTCATTAAATCTAGTGTTTAAGATTGCTTGAATGTATTGAGCTCTTAGTTATTTCTGATCGTTATATATATAATATTATTATAGGCCAGTGTGTAATATTAACCTTAAAATAATACTAATTTATCTCTCTCCTTCCTTATACATTCTACCCACCTTCCTCTCCACATACTCTCTCCTCTTCCTCTCCTCATATGTGACTCATGTATGCAAAGAGCAAAAGATGTACTAACTCCTCTAAACACTGCTGCCATAGTAAGATATGAATCGCTATCTCGCGCGATCTTTATCCACTCAACAGGAGGGTCGCTGATTAAGCCACAAATCAAAGTCCCTCAGACACCGGATTTACTCCCAAGATTGCATAAGTCCCACCCTCAGAGGGCCTCCCGCCTACCCGTCCCCTCTTCCGATCCTCCGTCGTATCTATGCTAATCTAATTCGATATTAATGCAATTAAAAACTAATTAATAATATTCTAGTAATTATGATATACAGCAAGATATATGAGCAAGATCGTAATATAAAACAAGGTTCGGTATAACATGTACAATGTGATATAAAAATATACAAGGAATAATGCCGTCAAAGCCCAAACTCAAATACAACCAAAATAATCACGGAGTTCGGTCTTCCGACCTACGTCTCCTCTGCCTCACTCCCGGGAGAATCTACTACACAAACGATGTTCATGCTCACCCAAAAAATATTTTACACCTCACAAGTTCGGTTTTCTAGCTCACGAAAAACTTTACAACTCACACTGTGTAACTTACACAATACCACCTCAAGTCTTGACCTCTCACGTGTTACTCCCTCAAGTGTTCAGAATTTCCACATTCTCCCTAGCTTTACTACGACCCCACTCCTCTTGGAAAATGACCACGTCTCTTCCCTCTACACTCCTCTTGGTGTATTTTATGCAATACAATA